CATCAGAAATCCCATAAAATGATGGGTTATGCCAATAATCAGTAGAAGAAATGCAATGATTTTTTAACATGTATTTTATCTATACATTTCACTGACAGTATAATATATAGACTTTTATATATTTCTATATATATATATATATAAGTCACCCATCAGGCAAATTTGACACAGATCAACACCTGATATTATTTCGTTGAAAAAGGAAGATTAGGAAGTAATATGCACAATAAATTTAGATATAAAAGTGGAACTAGAAGAAAAAAATTCAGAGTGCACTAAATGTTTTCAATGAATTAATAGCGTGAATTTACATATCTAGCTATTTATAGCTATCCACTAATAGTACTTTTGTGCAGAGAGGAAATACTGGAACATTAAATTAAATATAATACTTTAGTGCATGGGACTGTGAGCTCATTTTCTTTAGAGGTAAAATATTATTCATTTGCACTAGCATTGATGGCAAAAATTGTGTGAATGATACTGGCTACCAGCTTCAAGAAAAATTGACCTTTAAGTTAAATATCTATAAGGCCCAAAAGATAGACTTAAGAAATATATTACTGTACACTAAGATCAGATGAAAATTGGTATTATAATTTGTAATTTTCTTTAGTTTTAAGTGACTATAAGCTAAAATTTCATGCATATTAAAGTCTTCCCAAAAATGCTACATATTTCCAAACTCTTTATAGTATGTAATAGGACAGATAGAATGAAAAATAGTAAAGAATGTAATACACTGACTTCTTACTGTATTATAGTTCTATATTTTCACAAAATAATCTATATATCCTTTTAGTAAATGGATGAAACAAAGATTATGCAATAGTTTGAATATGCAACATGGCTTGCAAAAGTACACACACACACACACACACACACACACACACACACACACACACACACACACACACACACACACACACACACACACACACACACACACACACACACACACACACACACACACACACACACACACACACACAAATATGTATATATACATATGGTACACATACATA